AAATTTACTTACATGCTCCATAAAATAAATGTGTATGTGAGTCTTTTAAACAAGAAGAACAATTCAGACAGTAATAGAACATAGCAAACGATACTAGCACAACAAATGTGTTGTCAATCGTAAACAGATTGTCATCGACTCAAGTTTCGGGTTCTTTTAATTTCTAATGATGTTAATATTCAAACGTTTAGTATATGCTAAAAAAAAATAAAATCTGATGCTTTTGTTCTAATAAATAATAACAAAAAAGGATGCCGATTGATATTTCAAAGGAAAAGAAATGCTAAATATAATTTTAAACTATGAAATCGTAATATCATTGATTAGTCACGTAATATAAAGAAGAAAAAAAGAATTTCTCTTATTTCGTTAGTCAATTTTAATTTACCTAACTAATCATATAATATATATTTAATTTTTTGTATTCTAAAGTAAAGATAGAAATTAACTATAAAACTTTCAAACAGATTTTAACACCACCCTTGATAATGTGTTAACAATCCCAAGAGTTAAACAGGAAGAATGTATTCATTTCAATAGCTTTAGTTCGAGCGGCAAACAGCGACAATGAGATTATAATACGATTTGTGCAAACACACCAGGATAGTAGACATTCTGACAGAAGTTTTTCCGACTAAGAGCACAAGTGTAGAAGCGAAGTAGAAAGAAAGAGAGGCAAAGAATGCATAAAGATGCCGACAACAACGACAATTCTCGATCGTTTGCATATTATCGATCGTCTCGGATACCACACCATGAGCAGAAGAACATATTTCAACTATTACAGAATTAGACCACATACACACACATAAAGATATAGACAAAAAAACAGAAAAGAAAACGAAGTAGAGGAAATAAGAGAACAATTCTATTTCTGTCTATTTCACTCACTCATTCACTTTCTCTTTTGTTGTTCTGTCAGGGATATTAGTAGTTAAGATTTTTGAATAAGCACATTTTTCTTCTTCTGCTTCTGCTTCTTCGTCTTGTTCTTCTTCGTTTTCTTTACAATCTCGATTTTCTCTTATAAGTATATAGATCAGCTTTTGGGTAAAAAACATTTGCTTGCGTGGTAGTCGCAACCGGATGTCTATGAGTTTGTCTGTCTAGCATGTGCAAGAAAATTTTCATCGTTACGTTTGTTGTTCAATATGATAGACTAAGTATACGCAGGTAAATTCAGAAGAGAGAGAAATCAAAAAAAAATGATCGATCGATTCAAATAGATGAACAAGGAATATATATATATATTTAGTCTTAATCGGAATATCAAAAGAATTATGATTTGATTTTTTGAAGCACAAAAAAAAAACATACAGAAAAAAAGAATGACTATAATAGTAAAAACTATTACTGTTATTATTAGTATTATGGAAATAATAGCTCTTAAATCTTTAAAATCTATTGTTATATAAATATGATTATGTATTATTCAACAAACGCTAAGTCGCTCAATAAGAAAAGAAACTATAAAAAAAAAAGAAAAAGAAAAGCTAGAAGAAAAAAACATAAGCTTGGTTAGTTGTTTCTAAACTAATTCTTTTATAGTTTCGTCATCGACAATGATGATAGCATGTCTAATTATAGTCAAAGAAAAAGATCTGTCGATTCGTATGTGGAAACAGCTAGTCAATCAATTCATTTCAATGGAAACTGATGCCGTAGAAACTAATAATGGAAATACAACTTGTCCCTATCCATCACGAGAATTCTTTTGCTGTCTAAGTGCTTTATCGTTGTGACTTTCTTTCTCCATTTTCTTCTATCATCTTACTTGCTTTCTCATTCAACACTCTCTGTCTTTAACCACTTACATATTCCTCAACGAGTGCTATCAATATAAACATATATATATGTATATATATATATAGATAGATAGATAGGCAAATAGATAGACTTCTATTAAGAGGCTCTTGTTAAAATCAGATCATCTTTTGTACATATATATTAAAACTAAACTAAGCACATTTAACAAAAAAATGAATAAATAGCTCATTCAGAAGAAATCTGTTTATATATATATATACGCTTCAATGCTTTAACATACCGACATATGTCAGACTATATTATTTTTTTTTGTCAATGACAACTATTGAGTCTTTTTTTAGCTTGATAAAATAAATATAGGTTAAGTTATTTTAATGTTTTTAAAAGAAAAAGAAATAAAATTATAGGTAAATTTTTTTCTAAAAAGCAGTCACTTATATAATTAGTTACTTAAAAAATCATATATATATATATATCGTATCTTGATAGACAGTCAATATCCTAACATATTTTATTAAGCATTTTCTAAATACTAGATGTTAACATTATAGAATAGCGGAAGTAATGAGTCTCATTGTTTTTTTTTCTTCTAATATCATTTAACTATTAAATAATTAAACATTCATTTATACTAACAGCTTACTTGTTTATTTTAATTACAAAATACTCGATATATTATATCGTTGAAAATTTTGATATAGAATCTCTCGATAAGTTAGCTTAAATCTATAGTTGTTGATGACAAAATACAATAGATACAAATGAAGAAAACAACCAAATGTGCATTCACGCAGATATTATTAAGAATAAAAGAAACTTGTCATCATCATAACAAGTCGATCGACCGGCAATGTCTATGAATGATAATGAAAAACATCTTCGTTTCGCTCTTGCACATCATCCATAGATTCACACACATACAAATAGACTAGACAACCGAAGCTCATTTGTCTTTATAGATCATAAAAAGAAAGAAAATATAGAAGATTGATGGATGAACATCAACTCATCATCATTAGAGTCATCATCATAGGATTAGGTCGTTTTCTTTTGTGTTCGTTCGTATACACTTGTTTTTCAGTATACTTAAAATAGGTATTCACGATGTAAGTCGTTGTCGTTGACATGAGAAAAGTGCATCGATCATATTTGACTGTAACCTTTGCTTGTTACACTTTTTTTCTGTTTCTTATGTCAGAAAGCTAGCTAGTCACCTTCTCGTGATTTTATTATTTACATAGAATCAAGTATAGATGCGCACAAATGTCGTAGAAATTGGCTTCGTTTACTCATTGGACCAAAGAATACCTTGTCTTTTTGCTTCTTCTACTTCTGTCAGCCCATAGATAATTGGAATATGTATGCTGATGTTAATGTGATTCAGCATGATTTGTTTTCATATTATATTAATCTAAAGTTGTTTTGACGACTAACGAATTTACTTTTCTTTCTCTATTTCCTGATAGTCCAATTAACATAGAATGAGAAAGAACTAATGTCTTATTACCTATATGAATTTAGCTTTCTAATTTAAACTTAAATAGCTTATTGTCAATATTAGAAAAGAAAGGTTGATCTAAAATAGAACAAAATATTTATATATAGAATAGCGTTTACTATAAATATAAAAAGAAAACGCTATTTAAATAGGTATTAATCAATCTCATGTCAATGTCTTGAGATTTCCTTTATTGTTATTTTTCAACTTTTTTTTGAACAATCTTTAATAAAATATATTGAAGAATGATTAATTAACAAGGGTTAATGCATTTTTATTCAACAGGATGCTTGACAGTAGTATTTTTATTATTATTTTCTATTATACTAATTAATTTAAGTAGATATTGAAGTAACTTTACTTTATATTAATTTAAGCGTATGAAATAAGAAAGAACGGATGCATGATAAGTTTAATAAGACGGTTAAGAGGACTTCAACATAAATGATTCTGTAGAGTTCTTCATGCATTAACAAAACGAGAAAAAGAAATGACAGATTTTAAATGCATTTAATTTCATAGTCAAAAAGACACGTTAATTTTTTTTCTCTTTTTTTCAATTGTAATAAGAAAATATATTTGATGCATATATACATTCAAGCTACTATTTCTTTTTTTATTAACGTTTAGATCGTCTTTTCGCAACATGACAATATGTTGATTCCCCTTGGGTACTTTTTCATACTACGCCTATATATTATTCTCTCGCATCACTAGTATCAAGCCTGACATTGTTCTCAATACATCTATTTTTAATTATCTCCTTTTGTACTTTTATTCTAGAAAAAAAGAAAATTATGTTCATTAATTTATATTTGTTATCTTAAAAAACCACTTTGTGCCAAACTAATCTGCAATCACACGTCATCACCTTTTCTTCTTTTATTTTTTCTCAACTACAAAATATTCATAAGATTATGATTAATTTTTCTAAGCGATTTTTCTCTTTAGAACAGTATCTTTGAATTATACTGATTAATATAGGCAGAAAATAAACTGAGTTAACGAAAAAAACAATTGATTATACTTTTAATATCTAATAATTCAATTCAATATTCTGAAAAGCTTACCATGTTGATGAGCTTATATATATTTCAGAATGTAGAACAAATTCTATTTTATCCTTGAATAAATGTCATATGCAAGATTTACGTCTTACTTGATTTATATGGGCCATTAAACACTATATGTAAAAGTGCAGATTTCTTTTAGTTATCAATGGTTGTATCACAACAATCTATTTAATCAGTAGATATATTTTATCAACTGATAATATCTAATATTTTGTTTGGGATATATTTTAATTGATTTGTTATATATTTTCTAACGTGCGGTTTTATTTTCAATCGATTTTTTTAATTAAGTTTTCCGGTTTAACGACTCATTGCTTGTGATCATCAAATCGATATTTCGGATGGACAAATTACATAAATCATCTATCATTTGTAAAGATAAAAAAAAGTATCATGTTATTATGAACCATACGAGTTTTTCAAGGTCATTATTTATCTGATAAATTATCAGAAATATAAAATTAAATAAATTTTATTAGTGGAAAAAACCATCTCTATATTTGTTTTCAAAAAAAAAGAAAGTACGACAAATGATTAGTAAGCAATCCAACGTATCGTGATGTTTAGATCCATCTTTTATAAATTCTGTTTCTTTTTCTTTGTCTTTTAAATATAATAAATAGATCACGAAACAATTTGTTATTATTCTTATCTATCTTAATATGAATACAAGTTATGATTTAGATACTTCGACACCAAATATAATTAATCGAAATAAATATTTTGAATCATTAATGGATTTTTCTACACCGATGAGTACAATATCTACTCGTTGGATGAATAATACAAAAACTAGTCATTCTAATGAGAAAATTTCTTCAGATAATAGTCAAAATTCAACAGTAATTAATGATACAATTATTGATATGAATGATACAATTATTGATAAACTTTTACAAAAATTTAACGAACATAAAATTAATTTTCATAATACACAAAATTATCTTAATCTACTTGATAATCATTTATGTGAAATAACAACAATTCTTAATCAATTACAAAATCCATTAAGTTATAATTCATTACTTAAACCAACGACTGATGAATTAGAAACTCGCTTATTACAAATGTCAATTAAACGCGAACAAATTCGAACAGCTATTAATAATTTTCATCAATCACCAACAATCAGTGAAACACTTAATGATATTATTCAACAAGTATAAAAAAAACAAATATTTATTCAACTATATATATTTATTGATTATTTAGATATCACCATCTACATCAAAAAGAACAGATTCAACGATTTCTTATAGTGAATTAATCAATGCTATAAAATTAAGTATGAAACAAAAAACAAATTTAATTGAACATTTTTATCAAGAAGAAATTCATATGAAACATCGAATAAATGATTATTATTCAAAAATGAAACAACGACAATATATACTTTTACAATTAGTTGAAAAAATTCTTGAACAACAAAAAGAAAATGAAAAATATGTTGAAGAAATTAATCTTGATAAACCACAATTTGATAAACATAGTGAACAATTAACTGAATTTAATAAACTTAATGAAGAATATCAACTACTTCAAGATGAAAATCGATTATTAAAATATAAAACGAAAGAAAATATTAATAGACTTTATACTTTTATTAATCAAACAACAGAATAATTTTTATTTTAATCATTTATCTATTTTAATAAATAAAAAAAGCTCTTTTTTTCCTTCTTTTTACTCAACAATCAGTAGTTCTAAAAGTTCAGTCTATGTAATCTGTGATATATAAATAACTCGAGAAACTTGTATTTAGAGAAAATACAACGTTTAAGTTTTGGTTGAAAGACTATATTTATACTAGACAGAAGACATAGTAATTTATTTTCTATTAGTGACATGGTCTTTAACATCTATGATTTCAGAATATAAATAGAAAGGAAATACTTTAAATCTACTTATGACAAGTAACTTGAGTTTTTGTTTTCCGATGTGTTAAGTACATTATTTATGCTTTAGACGTAAATCATCTTCAATTTATAATTAATTTTCGTATTACAGTATGAAAGACTATAAGTAAAGAATCAAGTTGGTGATATATGTTTGGATTAATGTATTAAAGTCACACTGACTATTGTCATTGTCATGAGATGAATAGAATTCAAAAGAAATGTTTTTCAATGATATATGTGTAATTTGTAATAAATTAAGAAAAGAAAATATTTATTTTCATAGAAATTTTATTTTTTCAAATGTTGTTTTTCTATTATACAAATAAGAACATGTAATCTTGACTAGATTATGTAAAAAATAGTATTAAAATGGTTTTCGTTTTCCACGAGGAGTTGTTGTTGGTGTTGCTTTTGCTCTGCCTCGACCTCGACCTCGGCCACGAGTAGTAGCACCACGTGCTGTTGATGATTGTGTTCGTTTTTGAGTAGATTTCATTGAACTTCGATCAAAATCATCATCATCATCATCGTCATCATTTTCATCATTACTATTATCATTATTGATTCCTATTGATCCTGTTATCATGAGATCATCATCACTTGATCGATCACCATTCGCTTTAAGACGTTCTTTTCGAGCCATTGTTAATACTTCTTTTCTTCTTTGTGTTGCTTCATTATCATCAATATTTTGTAATGTTTTAAAACGTTTCAATTCTTCTTCAAGAAAAGCAACATCATCATTATGTATATTATTCGAAAGAAATTTCTAAGAAAAAAAAATCGATAAGAAATTTTTGGTTTTCTGTCTATTAGAATATTTACTCGGCTTTGTTCAATCTGTGCTTCAACCATTGTACTTAATGCATAGATTTCATCTTTATCAATAAATTCAGTTAATGCTGCTAACATTGATTTTTCATCAAGTAAACGTAAACGATTAGACTAGGGAAAAACAAAAAAGGAAAAATTATTATTTTCGAATTATTATTTATATACTTCTGCTGTTGATTCAAAATATGTTTGAATAGAATCTTCAACACGTTGTGCATGTTTAAATTGTTCATTAGAAATTTTAATTGCATTAGGATCAAGTTTAATTTCATTTGATTTTGATGCATTATTTTCACGTTTTTTATGTAAATTAATCATTGTTTTTGCATTTGCAACTTGATCAGAAAATTTTTGAACAAAACGTATATCATTAAATGAATCGAATAGATCAAAGCCAGTATAATCAACACGAAGACGAATTAAACTATTTTAACAAAAAACAAAGTACTTTATCTGAAAATAAATATCTTCGTACGGTTTTTTTGGTTGTTTTGGATGACCAGTATGTTCCTTTTGAGCACGTACAAGTAATTCTGTTATCTATTTGTATATAGAAAAAAATTAAATTTTATCAAAAACTAAATGAAGATAGTTTTTACTGTATCAGTTAAAAGTTTGTCAAGTTTTTGTTCAAGTTTAGCATTTGATAATGTTTTCAGTGCTTTTTCATCGATATGATCACTTAATTGAATATCAACAAAATAAAATTGTCGAACTGTTTGTAATGGTCGTTGATGCATTTTAAAGGTTTTTTTATGAACATGTAGAATACCAGCATGCTTCTGTAATTGTTCACCTTCACTTAGTGATGTTGCAACTGTACTACCTTTTTATAAGAGAAACATATAAAATATTCAGTATTCATACGATTGAAAACGATATGAATAACATCTGTCGTTAGGGACCTGCGGAGTCAACTATTTTTGACTCTGACTCCGACTCCGAAAAATTATGTTTTGCAGACTCCAACTTTGACTCGGACTCCGAGAATTTTTATTTTTTTGACTCCGTCAGAGTCATAATCGGATTTCGGAGTCCTCCGCAGCTTCCTATCTGTCGTATAGATCATTAGCATCAAGCTTGAATTACATTTTCAATAAGGATCTTTCTATAAGAATCTAATAATCATTACAACGACATGATTTTTGCTTATTTATACCAATGACTATCGGATTGTATATATATCTCAGATAATCCCAAGAGTCTTTCTTTTAATAATTACATTATATTTTGTTTCTACTGCTATTCGAAGCTCATCAGTTTCGAGATCTCTAAGATCATATACCATAGAAATTTTATGGCAGCACAAATGATGCAAAAAACTTTGACAAATACACAAAATCTATTAGACAGTCTGCACATGTAATCAATCGATTATTTTCCAATAAAACTAACCTGGTTGAATAACAAAAAATTTTTGTACGGTATTAAATTCGGGTGTAATTCTGCAATCATGTTCATGACCCCATATAACAATATCAAGAAATTCATGTAAAAATTGTTCTGGAATATAATTTTTTGGTCCATGTGCAACACGATTTTGATGTATAACGAACATATTAAACCAATCATCAGGTTGATTAGTTGGTCGTAATAAATTTATTTGATTCTTAAGAAATATTCTATGTAAACGTTCATCACGTATTGAACCTAAACCATAAATAGCTAAATTTGTTTGTCCTTTACGAAAAAGTAATGGATGAATATCAATATTTTCTAATGTAGATAAATTTCCAAAATAATTTATTAAACCACATGAATTAAGTAAATCAAGTGGACATAATGGTGTTGAACCCGATGGATCATCATGATTTCTAATACAAAAAAAAATCAATTTATTTAAGAATTAATTAAATATCGATTCTACCCATGAATAGAAAATACTGGTGTACTAATATTTAAATTCGGATCTTTAAAATTTGCCCATGGAAATGGATTTGATTGAACAGTTGAAGAAAAGTTAACTTTTTCATCACTTATTAGTTTAAATTCAATTGTTTTGTCACCCAGACAATATTTTCTTAATAAATTCATACATTCAAGCATAACATGATTTGATGGTTTATTATCATGAAATAAATCACCACCAAGTAAAATAAAATCAACATTTTCATCACGTGCTATTTGAAGACATTCTTCAAATGCAATTAATGAATCATTTGCACGTTCATCATCTCGTTCAGCAAAGCCAAGATGATTATCTGTTGTAATTAATATTTTAAATACATCATCAGATGATGGAGGATCAGATTCTTCTTCTTCAGAATTTTCACTTGAAGATATAATTCTTGATTTTGGCATATTTAGAGAGAGAGAGCGAAAAAAATGATTTTTAAATATCCTGTTTTTAATTGCACAATCGCGAAAATAATTGTGTAAAATATTTCAGAACGAACCATACTAGTATTCCATAGAGGTCGTTATCAAGAAGTATAATTTCATAGTTTAATATAATTCAAATAATGATTTCACAAGAATATTTTTTTATTAATCAAAATTATAACTCTAAGGAAAACATGTGATATTAACAATGGATATATTCGAATTTATAACCTTTTTAAAAAATACTATCTACGATAATTCTAATTATGTAAGTAGATTTTAATAGTTTAGTCTTTATCTTTATTATTAGATTCGTTCTGTTTGTATAGACGAAAATCTGATCTTCTTATTTTCTTCATTTTATGACATATTCAAAATACACTACTCGATTGATTGACTAGACTCATTATGGACTTTGTTGTTTGGGAGAGAGAAAAGGAATCTACTAATACAACAAATACAATGAGAATAACAAAGAAAAATAAGAATATCAGACAAAAGACATGATGCATATGTATTCAAAGAAAAAAAAAATATAGTACTGAGACAAATGCTCAAACATATAGTACTTGTAACTGTATGCAATCTTAATGAAGGACAAAAAAAAAGGTATGAAACATGTTTAGAAAATCGGATATTAAAAATAAAACGAAGTGAAGAAGGCTTTCTCAGAAATAAATATGTATACAAATGTTTTGAAGAAGAAAAAACGAAACTAAGGTAGGTCAAATCGAGAAAAACAACAAAAGAATCAAAAAAAGAAAAGAAAAGAACTTCACTGTTCGCATTAGAAAAGATTATCTTAACTAATAGAACATACACTTGTTTCGTCGACACGTAGAATTCGTAGAAGTGCTCGTAAAAAATAATTTATTGTTCCAAATCGTCCACTCGGTGCTGAATCATAAAAATGTAAACATATACCGGCTGCTGAACCACATGGGTTGCCACTAGCACAACATTTTGTGGCATCTCCACCAGATGCTTGTTGATCTTGTAGAAATATACCATTTGCTGTCGATACAATATCTTCAATACTAATTATTTCATCCCAATGAAATCTATAGAAATATTAATTGATATAATATGATGATAATTGAAAAAAGTTTTACCGCGCATCACCAAGTGCAATCGAAGTAAATATAACACAAGCTTCAACAATTAATTGACGATATTCAGTAAATGGTACACGATTAAGAGCTTCTTCAACACGTAATGCAAATTTTATTTCTTCTTGAGTCATTTCTTGTGTTAAACTGTTATATAGGATATAATCAGCAATTTTAATACCTTTACACTAAAAGAAACAATAACAAATAAGTAAAGAAAGAAATTTCATTAACAGTACAGATGGAGTGTAATGAGTTCAATTCGGACACTAGTTTATACTATAGACTCACAATGGATTGATTAGTCAATCTTTTTCTGACATACGCATGAGATAAATTAGTGTCTGAATTGATTTTGATTGATGAAAAAAAATATTAGAGATTTAGAAACATGAAGATCTGAATGATATAAATATCTTTTCATTAGAAACTTATTATCAACTATTGAGGATAAGTAAGTATATTATGAATTGTAACTAAATTAGATGTATGTATTGGAATATTTACTTTTTCTAATGTTTGCCAAACTTGTCCATAGAAACGAACAGGTACACGATTTAAAGCTCCATCAAGACGTCGTCGACGAATCCATTGACCATGTTTTCCAATATCATCATCATCATCTTCTGATGGTTGATCAATCCAATTTAAGTGAACACTTAATTTTCTTGTACTTGCTTCTTTGATTTCATTTCGTATAATACGCATATCACGTTCTTGTTTAGGTAAATCTGCTAATTCTGGTGCTGGTTTTGTTGAATGTTCAGTTATACCAAATTCTTTTCCACTTAAAATAATATGTAATAAACATTTAATTTCATGTGGACTTAAATTTAATAAATGATCGGTTGTATCTTCATCCGATGATTGTAATGTACGTTTTAATTCACCAAGCATAACTTGTACAATAAGACCAACACGTATACGTATCATACCAGCAAATAATTGTGGTTCCGTACTAATAAATGTATGTAAAAATACAAGAATTTCTTGTGTTAACATAACCATTGTTGGATCATTTCCTGTTGCTGTTACTATTGTACCATATAATTGTTCAACTGTCATTGGACTTGTTAATACATGTTCACGTGGTGCTGGTGGTAGACCAATCGTTAATTGTTTTTGTTGAGCAAGTATAGCAATTAAACTTTGAGCAATACTTTCAATACGCATTTTTAACATACCAGCACAATGACGTATACACCACCAGACACGTTGTTTACATGCTCGAGTATAAAGTTCTTGAATAAGATCACGAACTGTTACATGATGTCCATTATGTTCAAAATCAAAATCAATACCTCTGTAAAAATCGAAAAGAAAAATAATGAATGCGTTATGTATTAAAATATATATATATGTATTGTCTCGCTGAATTTTCTTTAATAAAAATTATAGAATAATTAGATTCTAGAGAGTAACACAAAATTAACCCTTTAACGGACGGTGGGACATATATGTACCAATTTTTTTATTCTTTTCGATCATAGGGTTACGGTGAAGTAAGAACAATTATTTTGATATAAAATACTATGATACTGTATAGATTGAGTATGTCTATGAAAGGGTGAGTGTAGGTGTCGGTGTAACTGTAGATAACATGGCAAAACCTACAGTCACACCCACCCATACCCTAATAATCTGCATTAAAGCTATCATTCAGTGCGGAAAAAATTGACAAAACTTGCTCATCTAAAAGTCGTCTGTTAAAGAGTTAAGTTATACTTGACATTTTATAACATCTTCTATAAGAAAATTCTGTTTGATAAGAATTTTGCAGGCCCTTGACATTTCGTTGAAACATAAATACGTGTATTTAATATTATCTTTCTCTTAAAATAGAAGAAATCAAACAATATATGACATACTTATTCATACACAGATAATGTAAAATATCTGCTTGATCTTGTATAGATGAAGCATGTGGAAGAAGCGCAATAATATCATGTACTTCTTTATCTCTTAATAACATATCTCTTCTATTTGATGTTGATAATGTATGTTCATCAGCACGTATATGATTTAAAACATTTGTATCAGTTTGATCATCTTGATCATCAATATTACTTGAATTAAGAATATTCTGTACTACACTATTATCACCTGCATGATGACTATAACTATAACTACGTTTAACAGCACCACGTATTTGTGCTAATTTTTTAATTCTATATCGTTTTTGATAACGATAATCCATATTTTGATAAGATAAAAAATTTGACATTTGATTAAAATCTGTACTTGATTGAAGTAATTCCATTAATTTATCTTCTGGATCTTCATCATCATCTTCACGAAAAACAAAATCAAGACTTGTTACACATGATGTATTTATAAAATCTTCTAATTTGCCCATTTGTACTCGTACACCATTTGTATAACCTGTTTTTAATTTTTTTAATGTTTGAATAACATTTTTAGGTATTGGATCAGTATCAATTATATCTGAACGTAAAACAATAACAACAACAGGTCTTCCAGTTATATTATTCCAATTTTTATTTAAAAATGATATATAAGTACGAAAACGATCAAGAATATAATCAATATCAGATGCTAAATAAAATGTATTTTGATCCATAAACTAGAAAAAAATGAAAAAAAAATAAATATTCATTTCAAAATTAAATCAATAATTTATACTGATGGAGTAAATGCTAATGTTCTTCCACATATAGTATAAAGTTTTGATGTTGAAAATGGACCCATTTCAAATGATGGTCGACCAGTTAAACCAAGACGTTCATTTTTTCCTAGAATAATATAAAGAAATAAAATATTTTGTTTTCTTTTTTTCATTCGATTTCTAACCAAGATGTGAATAAATATTTTGAAGAATTTGTACGGATCGAACTTGTATTAATTCAAGATCTTTTACTTGTTGAATATGTATACCAACTGATGCTAATTGTGATTGAATGACATCACTATCAGTTAAAACACATACTTGAACAAAACCTTCAGGTTTCGGTTCAGTTATCAGTCGTCGATTTAATGGATCAAGTTCACCGGGTGCTAAGAAACCCTTTAGATAAATAAATAAAATTAGTTTTAATGATAAGAAATATAATTTCTATACTTCTTTAACAAGCATAGCCAATACAAAAAGCGATTGACCCCACATATGAGGTATTCGACCCATTGGAATTCGATTTGTACTATGTGGATCACGTTTTTCATCTTCAACCTAAATTATATAAATTTCGCATAAGAAAAAACTGAGATCGTATCGATTCAAAGATATTTGTATTACTACAAATCATAATTAGAAAAGTTATATTCTTACTTTATCGCCTGGTACAGCATATAATTCAGGTATAATTTGTATACCTTCTGGATCTTTAAAAATACATTCTTCTAATAGACCGCAATAGAGTTGAACCTAAATAAATCAAGATTTCTATAAATGATTGAATTGCATAATGTTCAACTAACTTGATTGTCATTTTCATGAAATAATCCATCAAGTATTAAATAACAAAAAAATAATGGCCATTCACATTCAATTCTTTCAAATTGTTTAAGTTCATGTGGATCATAATGTAATTTGAATGCATTCTTAATATAAAAAAATTCATATTTAAAATAAAAACAAAATTTTTCTAACATACTTCTAATGGTGTTCTATAACCATCACGTAAAAATCTCGATAAACCATATCGACCTTGTAATTTTGATATAACACCTGTTTTTGTTTCTGTTACTAAATCAAGATCTTCAATACTAAATGCTGGATAACTAATTATGCTCAATAGTGATGCATCGGTTTCCTATAGAAAACAAAATAAAAAGAATTTCTTATGATTTGTTTTTTATTACTTTGGAAAATGATTCACGCGGTAACATTGATTTAAGTACTGAATAACACCA